TTATTATTATTGTATATATATATATATATATATATATATATATAATATATATATATATATATATCCCTCCTTGAACCGTCACCTTATCGTGGTGGAGGGGTTTGAGTGCCCGAATGATCCCGGGAGCTATGTTGTCGGGGGCTTCATGCCCCTGGTAGGGTCACCCAAGGCAAACAGGTCCGGGGGGACGGGTCAGACGAAGAACGGTTCAGAAGCCCCTATGATGAGTGTACGAGCAAGGCCAGTTACGTCGCCCGGATTGGCGTCACCGGGGCCTCACCCTGGAGCCAGGCCTGGGGTGGGTGCTCGCCAGCGAGCGCCTGGTGGCCGAGCCTCCCCCCACGGGCTCAGCCCGAAGGAGCGACGTGGGGCCGTCCTCACGTGGGCCCACCACCCGCAGGAGGATCCATATGGGGCCGGTGCAGAGAGATCTGGGCAGCAGTCGACGGCGGGGGCCTCGGCGACCGGATCTCCGGACATGGAGACTAGCTCTGGGGACATGGAATGTCACCTCGCTGGGGGGAAGGAGCCTGAGCTTGTGCGGGAGGTTGAGCGTTACCGACTAGATATAGTCGGCCTCACCTCCACGCACAGTTTGGGCTCTGGAACCCAACTCCTTGAGAGGGGCTGGACTCTCCATTTCTCTGGCGTTGGCCGCGGGGAGCGGCGGCGGGCTGGTGTGGGCTCATTGCCCCACAGCTCAGTCGCTGTGTGTGTTGGAGTTCACCCCGGTGAACGAGAGGGTCGCGTCCCTGCGCCTTCGGGTCGGGGACAGGTCTCTTCACTGTGGTGTCGGCCTACGGGCCGAACAGCAGTGCAGAGTACCCGGCCTTCTTGGAGTCCTTGGGAGGGGTACTAGACAGTGCACCGACCGGGGACTCCGTTGTTCTCCTGGGGACTTCAACGCCCACGTGGGCAACGACAGTGACACTTGGAGAGGGGTGATTGGGAGGAACGGCCTCCCCGATCTGAACCCGAGTGGTGTTTTGTTATTGGACTTCTGTGCTAGTCACAGTTTGTCCATAACAAACACCATGTTCGAGCACAAGGGTGTCCATAAGTGCACGTGGCACCAGGACACCCTAGGCCGGAGGTCGATGATCGACTTTGTCGTCGTGTCATCTGATCTCCGGCCGCGTGTCTTGGACACTCGGGTGAAGAGAGGGGCTGAGCTGTCAACTGATCACCACCTGGTCGTGAGTTGGGTTCGCTGGCGGAGGAGGAAGCCGGAAAGACCTGGCAGGCCCAAGCGTGTAGTGAGGGTCTGTTGGGAACGTCTGGCGGAGCCCTCTGTCAGAGGGACCTTCAACTCGCACCTCCGGGAGGACTTCTCCCGGATTCCGGGGAGGCCGGAGATATGGAGTCCGAGTGGGCTTCATTCTCGGCCTCTATTGTCAATGCGGCTGCTCGGAGCTGTGGGCGTAAGGTCTGTGTGGTGCCTGTCGCGGCGGCAACCCCAGAACCCGGTGGTGGACACCGGAAGTAAGGGATGCTGTCAAGCTGAAGAAGGAGTCCTATCGGGCCTTGCTGGCTCGGGGGACTCCTGAGGCAGCTGACGGGTACCGGCGGGCCAAGCGTGCTGCAGCCCGTGTGGTCGCGGAGGCAAAAAACTCGGAGCTGGGAGGAGTTCGGGGAGGCCATGGAGAAGGACTATCGGACGGCCTCAAAGAGATTCTGGCAAAACCGTCCGGCGCCTCAGGAGGGGAAAGCAGTTCTTCACCAACACTGTTTACAGTGCGGGGGGAGAGCTGTTGACCTCGACTGGGGACGTTGTCCGGCGGTGGAAGGAATACTTTGAGGATCTCCTCAATCCCACCGTCACGTCCTCCGAGGAGGAGGCCGAGGCTGGGGACTCGGAGGCGGACTCATCCATCACCCTGGCCGAAGTCACTGAGGTGGTTGGCAAGCTCCTTGGTGGCAAGGCTCCGGGGTTGGATGAGATCCGTCCTGAGTACCTGAAGTCTCTGGATGTTGTGGGGCTGTCTTGGCTGACACGCCTCTTCAACATCGCGTGGCGGTCGGGGACAGTACCTCTGGACTGGCAAACCGGGGTGGTGGTCCCTCTGTATAAGAAGGGGACCGGAGGGTGTGTTCCAACTATAGGGGGATCACACTTCTCAGCCTTCCCGGTAAGGTCTATGCCAGGGTACTGGAGAGGAGAATCCGGCCGATAGTCGAACCTCGGATTCAGGAGGAGCAGTGTGGTTTTCGTCCTGGCCGTGGAACACTGGACCAGCTCTACACTCTCCATCGGTGCTCGAGGGTTCATGGGAGTTTGCCCAACCAGTCCACATGTGTTTTGTGGATCTGGAGAAGGCATTCGACCGTGTCCCTCGTGGTGTCCTGTGGGGGGTGCTCTGGGAGTTATGGGGTCCGGGGCCCTTTGCTAAGGGCTGTCCGGTCCTGTATGACCGGAGCAGGAGCTGTGTTCGCATTGCCGGCAGTAAGTCAGACCTGTTCCCGGTGCATGTTGGACTCCGCCAGGGCTGCCCTTTGTCACCGGTTCTGTTCATTGTATTTATGGACAGAATTTCTAGGCGCAGTCAGGGGCCGGAGGGGGTCCGGTTTGGGGACCACAGGATTTCATCTCTGCTGTTTGCGGACGATGTTGTCCTGTTGGCTTCATCGAACCAGGACCTGCAATGTGCACTGGGGCGGTTTGCAGCCGAGTGTGAAGCGGCTGGGATGAAGATCAGCTCTTCCAAGTCCGAGGCCATGGTTCTCGACCGGAAAAAGGTGGCTTGCCCTCTCCGGGTGGGTGGGGAGTCTTTGCCTCAAGTGGAGGAGTTCAAGTATCTCGGGTCTTGTTCACGAGTGAGGGAAGGACGGAACGTGAGATTGACAGGCGGATCGGTGCAGCTTCGGCAGTGATGCGGTCGCTGTATCGGACCGTTGTGGTGAAGAGGGAGCTGAGTCGAAAGGCGAAGCTCTCGATTTACCGGTCAGTCTTCGTTCCTACTCTCACCTATGGTCATGAGCTCTGGGTAGTGACCGAAAGGACGAGATCGCGGATACAAGCGCTCGAAATGAGTTTCCTCCGCAGGGTTGGCTGGGCGCTCCCTTAGAGATAGGGTGAGGAGCTCAGTCACACGGGAGGAGCTCGGAGTAGAGCCGCTGCTCCTCCACGTCGAGAGGAGCCAGTTGAGGTGGCTCGGGCATCTGTTCCGGATGCCTCCTGGGCGCCTCCCTCGGGAGGTGTTGTCCCGGCATGTCCCGCCGGGAGGAGGCCCCGGGGAAGACCCAGGACACGCTGGAGGGACTATGTCTCTCGGCTGGCCTGGGAACGCCTCGGGGTCCCCCCGGAGGAGCTGGAGGACGTGTCTGGGGTGAAGGAAGTCTGGGAGTCCCTGCTTAGGCTGCTCCCCCCGCGACCCGGCCCCGGATAAGCGGACGAAAATGGATGGATGGATGGATATATATATATATATATAATATATATATATATATATATATATTTTATGTTTATTTATTTATTTATTTATTTTAGGCCTTTCTTTCTTTATTTATTTATTTTTTAAAATAAGTGTAAAACAGAAAAAAACAAAAACAAACTCCTCTTTTTGTCCGTAAAGTGAAAGTTTCTCGTGAAACGTCGTAAACGGAGGATGAGACGCGCGTTGTCTCCTGTTGCCTGGTAACCACAATTCCACAGCAGCACGTGAAGGAGGCACGAGGCCGATTTACTCCTCGGAACACGCGCGCGCTAGAGGAGTCTGCGCAAACGCGGCAGCCGCTAACGTGGCCGCCATCTTGGGACTGTAAGAAGAACTGAATTTGAATGGAAAGTTTTACAAAAAGCACAAAAACGAACACAAACGAAAAAAAAAGAAAACATACATTAGGTTTGTGTGCTTTAACTTTATTTTAGTGATAAATTATGATCTAGATTACTTTATTTGGCCTTAATACATATTTTTTACTGTTATTTTTACATTTTACATTTTTACAAAATGTAAACACGAGTCACTATTTTGTCCAGAGGATAATGTTGAGCAAATTAATGCACATATTTCTAAATGTTTGCCTACAACAACATTAGTTTAGCTTCTTTTATAGTCAAAATCGGCCTGAGCTTTGGTTTAGAAATCTCTCTAAACTAAACAAACTGTTCAAGACTCTGCTCATCCGTCTTCTTTTTACGTTTCTGTGATGTTGATGTGAAAAAAGCTCCTGTAAAACTTTAAATTACCCATCCAGCCTCGTGTCAGTGACGTGATGTGAGTCGGCTCTTTTGAACGGTTCTTTAACGTGAGCGGTTGGAATCGAATCCAATGGATTCTACTGGAAACATGCGGATGACGACTTCCTCTGGACTCTGTTGGCAACAAAAACTCTGACAAAACTCGAGAAAATGGCCCAGTTTTTCTTAATCTAGACGTCATTGTTTTCTTTCTTTTTTCCTTTTATAAATAAAGTATTACAGAGCCCAAACAAAGTCGTCCTCCGCATGTTTCCAAATGTTTGAAAAAGAATGGAGACGGCAATTCATATTTTATTTTATTATTTTATTTTATTTTTTTATTATTTGTTTTATTTTTTTTATATTTTTTTTATTATTTGTATTATTTTTATTTTTTATTTAATTATTTTTTATGTTATTATTTTGTTTTACTTATTTATTATTTTAGTTTAGTTTATTTTTATTTTATTTTGTATTTATTTTATTTCATTTTAGTTTAGTTTAATTTTATTTGTATTTTATTTATTTATTTATTTCCCTTTTTTTGGTTTTATATTATTTTAATGTTTTTATATTTATATTTTAGGCCTTTAATTTTCTTAACTGAACTGATCCAGAAGATTCGGATCCCGTAAAAGAGCCAAAAAAAAAAGAAAAAAAAAAGCGATCGCTCCCTCGTGCGGCTGCCGGTTGCCATGGAGACACACAAGCACCTCTAGCGTTTCACAGTCCGGGGAGAGGGGAGGGGGGCGTGGCGTATGCAAATGAGCCTGGTCTCCGTGAATAGCCCGGGCTCCTCCTCTAAAGCCACTGTGGAACATCCCGAGGAGCCGGAGCGGAGCGGGACACAACGGACCGAAACACCGGGAGAAAGCGCATCTCAGCCTCGCGTAGAACCGCACCAGGACCCCGCACGCCCGCGAACCATGGCCTCCAAGTGCCCCAAGTGCGAAAAGACGGTGTATTTCGGTGAGTAAAAAAAACGCGATTTACCAATTTCTGGGGGGGTCACTTTTTTTTTTTTGAATGGGGGAAAACCGCGCGCGATCGTTACTCGAAGCGTTTCATTTATTCCACTTTTTCTTTTTTTTTTTTGACTCTTTCATGCTTCGCAACGCGTTTTTTAATCCCTTTAGCGTTTCTTAAACCTTTACGAACTCAAAACGCATCGTGTTATTTCTGCACGTGCTTTTTGTTTTCGTCATAAAAAAAAAAAAAAAAAAAAAAAAGCGAGATGCGATGACGTAATGCGCCTAATAATACGTAATAATCGTAACGTAACAATCCCAATCGTTATTATGGCGTTTTTTGAGTTGATTTTATTGCATTTTTACTTAAAGTTATCGTTTTTATTTTGTTAATTTCGCTGTTTTGAGTTGGTATTTCTTTTTTATTTTTGTTTTCCAGCTAAATTCTGTGTTATTTCTGTACAGTGACATAGTTTTCCTGCTGATTTTACGCTTTTTTTATCGTCTAAATTACAACTTTGGAGTTTAGTGTCGCTTTGTCATTGGTGCTTTGGTTTTTCGGTCTTTAATTATTCCCAAATTGTGTGTTTCAAAGTGTTTTTTTGTGTCTAAATGTGGGTTCTAAAAAGAGTCCGGGGTTTGTAGAATGTCTCACCTCCACCTCACTTCTCCACATTCCAGAGAAAAATTCCGGTTTTAGTCCCAGACGGAGTAATGATTGACTGTCCGGACTTTGGGAAAACGAGGAGCTGGAAAAGTAATGTAAACAAAAAGTGTAATGGGCAAATATTTGGGTCTAAAGGAGGATCAGCGGGTTTGGAAGCGACGGGGGATTCAGGGACTTTTGTAAATCTGGTTTGGAAATGAAGATTTGAAGAGTTTAAAAAAAACAAACATAAAAAAAAAAAGGTGTAAATGTTTTTCTGTCGTTTTTACGTTTGATTTATTGTGGAATTTTGTTCAGGGTTTAGATCCGAAACTCGTCCAACAGCGAGAACGAAAAGAAGACGGAAAAATGAACTGAGAACTCGCTTTAGTCCTGGTTTAGTCCTGGTTTAGTCCTGGTTTTTAGACCTGTTTAGTCCTGGTTTTTAGACTTCGTTTAGTCCTGGTTTTTCCTGGTTTTGTTCTGGTTTTGTCCTTGGTTTTCAGACTTGGTTTAGACCTGGTTTAGTCCTAGTTTAGTCCTGCTTTAGTCCTGATTTTGTCCTGGTTTAGTCCTGGTTTGCAGACCTTGTCTAGACCTGATTTAGATCTGGTTTAGCCCTGGTTTAGTCCTGATTTTTAGACCTGGTTTTGTCCTGGTTTAGTCCTGAGTTTTAGACCTGGTTTTGTCCTGGTTTTCAGACCTTGTTTAGACCTGGTTTAGTCCTACTTTAGTTCTGGTTTAGTCCTGATTTTTAGTCCTTGTTTAGTCCTGGTTTAGTCCTGGTTGCAGTCCTGGTTTAGACCTGATTTAGACCTGGTTTAGTCCTGGTTTATCCTTGGTTTTCAGACCTGATTTAGACCAGATTTTTAGACCTGGTTGAGTCCTGGTTTTGTTCTGGTTTTGTCCTTGGTTTTCAGACTTAGTTTAGTCCTAGTTTAGAACTGGTTTAGTCCTGATTTTTAGACCTGGTTTTGTCCTAATTTATTTTTGGTTTTCAGACCCAGTTTAGTCCTGTTTTAGTCCTGGTTTAGTCCTGGTTCAGTCCTGTTTTAGTCCTGTTTTAGACCTGGTTTAGTCCTGTTTTAGTCCTGGTTCAGTCCTGGTTTAGTCCTGGTTCAGTCCTGGTTTAGTCCTGGTTTAGTCCTGATTTTGTCCTGGTTTAGTCCTGTTTTAGTCCTGGTTTAGTCCTGTTTTAGTCCTGTTTTAGTCCTGGTTTTAGTCCTGGTTTAGTCCTGGTTTAGTCCTGTTCCTGGTTTAGTCCTGTTTTAGTCCTGTTTTAGTCCTGTTTAGTCCTGTTTAGTCCTGTTTTAGTCCTGTTTTAGTCCTGGTTTAGTCCTGGTTTAGTCCTGGTTTAGTCCTGTTTAGTCCTGTTGTCCTGTTGTCCTGGTTTAGTCCTGTTTTAGTCCTGGTTTAGTCCTGGTTTAGTCCTGGTTTTAGTCCTGGTTCAGTCCTGTTTTAGTCCTGGTTTAGTCCTGGTTTAGTCCTGGTTTAGTCCTGGTCTAGACTGCAGCTCCGTCCCTGTTATTTTCGTGGTCTAAATCTTGTGTTTGTTGATGTTTTCAGATTAAATGTGATTCTTAAACTTAAACTTCAACATTTTTCTCTCTGTGATTTCGGACGTTTTCATTTTCTCGTCCAAACGTTTCAAACGTGCGTCGGGTTTTGGCGCGAACTCGTTTTCAGAGACTTTGTCTTTTGTTGTGTTTGGTGTCGGTCCAGAGTCGACAGTCGGTTTGTGACGAAGCCAAGATCCCAGCGCGACCGCATGTCGAGAAAAAACACAAAAAACAAAAAAAACACACTCACACTCATCCCGACGAGAGACGAGAAAAAACCCAAACCGTCACCGTGAAAAAAAATAAAAATAAACAAACAAACAAACAAACAAACAAACAGTTCGAGAGGAAAACGAGCGACACAAACGTCGACTCTCAACTCTCGTCTGGAAATAAAAAAAAAAACTACGGACGAGAAGAAAGACGGAGATTAGATTTTACAGAAAAATCACACGATTGACAGAAATAAAGTGCAGAGTCAGCAGGTTATGTCGTCCTGGTTTAGTCCTGGTTTAGTCCTGGTTTACAGACCTGGTTTAGTCCTGTTTTAGTCCTGGTTTAGTCCTGTTTTAGTCCTGTTTTAGTCCTGGTTTAGACCTGGTTTAGTCCTGTTTTAGTCCTGGTTTAGTCCTGGTTTAGTCCTGGTTTAGTCCTGGTTTAGTCCTGTTTTAGTCCTGTTTTAGTCCTGTTTTAGTCATGGTTTAGCCTTGGTTTTCAGTCCTGCCTTAGTCCTGATTTTGTTTTAGTTTAGTCCTGTTTTAGTCCTGGTTTATTTTTGGTTTTCAGACCCAGTTTAGTCCTGGTTTTGTTTTGGTTTTGTCCTCATATTTTCATGGTTTTCAGACCTGATTTAGTCCTAGTTTTAGTCCTGGTTTTGTCCCAGTTTAGTCCTTGTTTAGTTTTGGTTTTCAGTCCTGGTTTAGTCCTGGTTTCGTTCTAGTTTAGACCTGGTTTAGTCCTGGTTTTCTTCAGGTTTTGTCCTTGTTTAGTCCCGGTTGAGTCCTGGTTTAGTCCTTGTTTTTTTCTGATTTCAGACCTGGTTTCATCCTAGTTTTAGTGCTCGTCTTCTTTTGGTTTAGTCCATGTTTAGTCCTGGTTTAGTCTTGGTTTAGTCCTGGTTTAGTCTTGGTTTAGACCTGTTTTAGTCCTGGTTTAGACCTGGTTTAGTCCTGATTTTAGTCCTGGTTTAGTCCTGGTTTAGACCTGGTTTAGTCCTGGTTTAGTCCTGGTTTAGTCCTGGTTTAGACCTGGTTTAGACCTGGTTTAGTCCTGGTTTAGACCTGGTTTAGTCCTGGTTTAAATCTTCTTGGAGAATCAGGATCAGTTTCGTCTTAAGTCAAAAACATAAACACAAATTATCTGTGTGAGGTTTTATTTTCCAAACACAAACGTTTTTTTTTTCACGACACGAAGCTTCTGTTCACACACACATCGTCCTGTTGTGTGTTTGTGCGTCAGGATTTCATTTGTTGTGTGTTTTTTTCTGTTTTTGTGCGTCCTGATTTCATTTGTTGTGTGTTTTTTCTGGTTTTGTGCGTCCTGATTTCATTTGTTGTGTGTTTTTTTCAGCGTTGTGCGTCCTGATTTCATTTGTTGTGTGTTTTTTTCAGGTTTTGTGCGTCCTGATTTCATTTGTTGTGTGTTTTTTCTGGTTTTGTGCGTCCTGATTTCATTTGTTGTGTGTTTTTTCTGGTTTTGTGCGTCCTGATTTCATTTGTTGTGTGTTTTTTTTTGTGTCTGATTTCATTTGTTGTGTGTTTTTTCGTTGTGCGTCCTGATTTCATTTGTTGTGTTTTTTTCTGTTTTGTGCGTCCTGATTTCATTTGTTGTGTGTTTTTTTCAGCGTTGTGCGTCCTGATTTCATTTGTTGTGTGTTTTTTTCTGGTTTTGTGCGTCCTGATTTCATTTGTTGTGTGTTTTTTTCAGCGTTGTGCGTCCTGATTTCATTTGTTGTGTGTTTTTTTCTGGTTTTGTGCGTCCTGATTTCATTTGTTGTGTGTTTTTTCTGGTTTTGTGCGTCCTGATTTCATTTGTTGTGTGTTTTTTCTGGTTTTGTGCGTCCTGATTTCATTTGTTGTGTGTTTTTTTCAGCGTTTGTGTGTCCTGATTTCATTTGTCACGGGTCAGAATCAATTACGTGAGCGGATGGAGCTGGATTATGTAAGCGTCTCTTCCACAGCTGCTCTCGTCCGCGGGCAAATGCTCCAACAACAAATTATGTTTGTGTGTAAATGGTGAAGCTCAACCCGAGTGTAAAGCTGCACTGTGGAACTTTTCCCGTGGAGGATTTGTCAGATGATTTTAAAAATCTTCTTAAACGCTCTTGTTCACTTTGGCTTTTGACCCAGTTTGATTTGTTGACATTTTATTTGATTTTATTTTTTTATTCGGTTCCTTCCACACGTCCTGTGTCTCCATGGAGACCAAACCAGACGAAGTTCCAGGTCAGATCTGTGGAGAGGCGACGCCGCTCACAGCCACAATGTCTGTGTTTTGAGGTGTTTTTGAGACATAAAACCAACTCTGATTGAATAAATGTGAAGTAGAGATGTTTAAAGTCGCACTGTGGAACATTCCAGGCAGAGCAGTGACGTCTCCATGGAAACAAACAGAAATCAACTGTCCCTTTATGAAATGATGTTAGTTTATCTATAAACACAGACACACAGGAGCGAGAACCACAACTGCTGCAGGATTTTATCTGATATATATTTGAACAAATTCTGTAGTTTTTTTAAGTTTCTTCATGGCAGCAGGTAAAGGAATAATTCATATTTCCACCCAGATCAACAGTTA